GCTTAGGGCTTCTATATACCCAAATGAACGTGTTTGCAATAAAGACAGCACATAAACCCCTAAGGAGCACTGCATATTGGTAGAGTAAGCAAACAAAGGCCCAACAGGAAGTACAAACTAGGTAGGCAGTTGGAATAAAAAAGACTTTCAAGAAAAGTAACCAGTTTTTTCAGCACTAAAACCCAAAAATGTCCTTGAGCCCCTTGACTGCCTCATCATAGCTAGAGATGCCAGAAGCTTGCAGGGTCTCTGATCTCGAGATTTTAGGGTTACCTCTTCAGAGGTGAGAGTGTTAGAGTAAGCAATGAAGGTCCATTAAGGAAAACCTCATTCTTGTAAGACAACAGACTCTCTGGCCTGCAACCTAGCACCAGTTTGGCCAGGTCAACCACTTAGTTAAGCGATCACCTCAAGAAGACAGCTCACATTAAGCCATGGTAAAGAGCTAGGCGGAATAAGTCCTTTAGGGAAACACTGTAATTTTCCTTCCCAGAATGCATGCCCCTAGAACAGCGGTTTACTGGTTTGCAGCCATGAAGCTTTGCACGTCTGCCCACTGTATTGAATTACTCAGAATAGTGCAGTCCCCTTTCTTCCTTCTGTATCTTTTCTAAGCAGGCATTCCTTAACAGTTTGGGCCTCCCAAACATTTTACGCTTGCTTACTATTTCCTTAAAGCTCCCTTCCAGCCATGTGGTTGCTAGTCCGTCTTGTGTCCAACCTTCATAACAGCTTAAACAGCATGACACCCCCCCTCCAACTCTCCTCCAGGAAGCTGCTGAGATTTACAGCTTGCCTGCCATGAGGGTTTGCTTTTAAACTCTAATAAAATTGTCCTTGAGCTTCCATTTGAGTTCATTCTTAAATTATTTATGAATTGCACTAAGGGCTCTAAGAGGTGGATACCAATGTTCCCTGTATTAATACGAAGACTGGACTTTGAACCTGCAGATCCATCATACCTCATTTTACACAGTAGGAGATAACTACAAGCAAGGAGCTTCCTGTTACAACCTGTTTCTACAGTAAAAGTTTAAACCAGTCTTGTGGCTAACCTTTATTCTGCTTTCCAAAGACAACTGGAAAGGAAGCAGTTGTGTCAGATGGATGAATCCCAGCTTGCATCCTGCTGTGAGTTCAGAAGATGGCTTTCACTAAGTATCTGTGTAAAGCATGCTAGTGCCTGGCCAGCAGCTGTTCTGTTGTGTCCTTGTTCTCCACAGAATATTGTGATGTGAAATTCCACCCACACCTTCTGCTCACCCTGCTACTCACCCCAATGGGCCTGTCCACCCCTTTACCACTCCTACCTCCTCATGTCCTGAACATCATGAGACAGGATCTTTGTTTGATTCTACTTGGAACTTCAAATAACTAATATATAAAAGGGCCAGTGTTAGGTAATAAAAGCCTGCATAATTAGTTAAGCACACCCCCAGCAAAACATCCATAAACGCTGGAAAACAAGTGCTGGTACTGTGAGCAGACAGAAGTGGTGAGTCAGAAGTCTACAGTAAGGTGTCAAGAATTCTGGGAACACTGGCTCCTACAGTGTAGTGGAAAAACTCCTGAAGTCAATTCTGACAGGGAATCCAGTACTTGAAAGTGAGGGAGGGAGAACTCCTCTGTAGTGCTTCAGAATGAGGCATGAGTCAGTTGTAGCTCCCAAGCTTGTCCTCCTAAACTTATGAGAATAAGAATTAAAAAGGAAATATATGCTATGGTTGCTCTTTCTGTACATGTGAAATTTTAAGCACTTGTCTAATGTCCAGCATTTTCACACAGCAGGCTTAGCATCATGGACAGACACAAGGCAGCTGAGCCCTATTACTGCCTATACAGTGAATCAGCCACAGCAGGCCATGAGGGGTGGGGTTGGTTAAGAGCTGCCTTTAAGACCCCAGATATAGTACTGCTCTACTTCCCCATCTCAGTACTCCGTAGCCTGTACCAATATGCCATGGATGTAACAGGACCATTTTCAATCTAAATCTTGTTAGAGATTAATAAGCAAACATTTTCTTGCTTATTATGCAATTTATCATGATGAAAAGCACATTGGACTCCTCAAGGCTACATGCTGATACATTCATTTATTCAGAGCTTTGTAGAGAAAGTCATACTAATCTTTGTGACAGAAAGGATGTAATAGCAAGATTTAAATTACCTACTGAGAACTATAAGATTTATGTCTCTTGATATACTGTCTGTAAGTAAATCATAGATACATGTTTATTTTGCTGATATAAACTTGATATAAACTTATTTAAAAAAACAAAATTGTAAATGCTAAAACTAAAATGAGACCTACCATTCTTTCTAGGTAACAAAACAGAATACATAAACTTGTGAAATGGGCTTTGGTCACATTTGAAAACAAAGTATGTTTTTGGATAATTAAAATATTATAAGCTTCTCGAGTTATACCAAGATAGCTTCAGTACCAGCAGCCCATGCTATGGTCTCCTGTGGGTATATAACAGTGAGCCAACAGGAGGCTGAAGGTAGAAAATACATTCTGGAGACTTGCACAAAGACCAGCTGCCTTGTACTATTGGTGCAAACTTATGGACTAAATTCCCTCCTAATTCCAATAGTCACCCGAGAACTATCTGCTGCATCCATTATCAGAAACTATTCTCACCACTAGTCTATAGAGCTGCTCATTTATCAGCCTGTAATCTGTTGAACACTGGGACCATCACAACGGCATCTCCACTTACATCATCAGTCTCTTAATGTCCTGGTTAGATTTTACTTTCAGCTTGACACTTGAGTCACTTGGCAAGAAGCTATTGCAACTGAAGAAGTGCCTCTATTAGACCTGCCTGTGGGCATGTCTGTGGGACATAGTCTTGGTTGCTAACTAATGTAGAAGGATCCAGTCCACTGTGGACAATGCCATCCCTGGGTAGGTAGTCAAGGGGTATACAAAAACACTAACTGAGCATGAGCCAAAGCACAGCCTGATCAAATGTAAGGGAAACGACCCCTTTCTGCTCTAAGTCGGTTTTGGACAGTGTGTTATCATAGTAAGTGAGAAACAAATTAAAACACCTATGATGTGCTAACCATTCCTCTAAGTTCTTATGAACATAAACTCATTTGGCATCAACTTTTTAAAGACACTTTACTTCCAATCACGTAGCTAGGGAGACCTAGAGGTGAGATTAGCAAACATGGGGGTGTGAGAAGAGGTAAGAGAGGGGAACAGCTGTCTAGGTTTGTACTGGATATCCTCCTCCTTCCAGTTATCCTGGGGGCACTGAGCAAATAGAGAGCAAATCTGTGGACAAAGCCTCAGCACTGTATTCTAGCTTCAGTTGCCTCTCTGGTTTCTATTTTGTAAGCAGAAAGACATCAGGCCACCAACATGCTGTAACTGGAGGGTACTGTGGCATAAGGACAAGCAGCCATGGAGAAAATAGCAGATCACTTTAGTTTTTTTAAAATGATAACACTGGCATGTCATTCATTCAAATTTTCACAAAAAGCCAAGGAATTTCTACCACCTTATATTCACTCAGAAGAGACACTGTTAAAAGTCAACAGAAGAATGGAAATCTTGTATGTACAGAGCTGATGGGAATGAAATGCAGACACTAGGAAAAACTGTTTAGCAGTTCCTATAAAATTTAAACATGGAATTATCAGATATCCTAGTAATTCTACCTTGGACATAAAAAGTGTTCTCACATAAACACTTACACATGAATGTTCACAGCAGCTCTGTTTACAAGGCCAAAAGGTGAAAAATAGCTACGTGTCCATCAGGATCGACATCAGCTAATCATGGGGTGGGGGGGAATGGAATTCAGCTAAAAATACAAAATAAAACACTGAAGTATGATGCAATATGGAATGGACTCTGTATGAGGGTAAAGTAAATGAAATTAACATAAAAGATCACAGGATGCAAGGTTTCATTTCTGTGCACTGTCTAGGAGAGGCAAATTTAAGAAAGGAGCAGACCAGTGTTTCCTAAGGCATATAGACAGGGGATGGAGAGAAACAGCGTAATGCACAAGGCTGTCTACTTGGGGATAGCACTATTGGGAAGCAGGTGGTTGTGGTGGCTGTACGCTGTCAGTTTACTTGTGGCAATAACCACCAGTTGTATGCCACTTGTATAATATACCCAGAAGAGGCACGTTTTCCTGGAATTAGGAGTCTGGGTTCTAAGACAACACCAATGCCCATGTTTTCCACCATAACTCATAGCCAGTTCACCAACACATGTGTTCCCACTCTTTTCAGGTTAGTAACTCAACCTATATGTTTTCCTCTTTCATTATTTTAATAGTGATGACTACAGTCTATTAAAAATGGAATGCATTTCATTTGTTTTGTGTGTGTTGTGTACCAAAGTGCATCAATGGAGGTCAGAGGACAACTTGCAGGTGTTGATGCCTTTCTTTCACTCTGTGGGGCTCATGGATTGAACTTAGATTGTCACGCTTGGTGGCAAGTGCCTTTGCCTGCTGAGCCCTCCTCCCATCCCAACTACAATCGTCACATAACTTGTCACTAACTATGTGCAAAAGAAACTCCAATAAAGTTAATTTAAAAATTATCAGGAATGTAGAAGAACAATTCTCCAAATTATCTAGTTCCATCTTCTGTTAAGTAAAACATTTTGAGCTAGTACCAATATGTATATCATTTTCCTAATAAGTAGCACATTTATACAATTATTTCTCAGTAATGTCTTGAGGTATAATAAACAATTTGAAAATTATGTCACTGATCATTCACTATCTCAAGGCTGCATCTCAATTTTCTATTGAGTTTTGTATTGTTTTTGATTTCTGAGACAGGGTATCACTACAGCCCGGTTTGGCTTTGAACTTGCAGCAGTCCTCCTGCTTTGGTGTCCTGAGTCGAGGCTAAAGCATGGCCATCATGCCCTGTAGATTACTGCTGATTAAACAAGCAGAGTTTCCCAAGGATAGCCAGTACCGCCAACAGCAGCACCCTAACCCACTGCAATCCACACATACTTGGCCAGTTGCTTCTCAGCATCTGCGCACAGCTCCAGAAGCCCCATCAACACAGCGGACACATCCATGTAAGGCTCCCACACAGTGAAACCTCGGCCAATCAGGTCAATGGCGGTTCTCCTGATGGTGCTATGAGGAGGGAGCTTGGGGCTTGGTGGCTGCAGCAGAAGATATGTCAGTGCCTTGCCTAAAAAAATAAAAATCAGAACATTAAGTAGTTTGAAAATATAAGTATACTTCAACTTGTTCCCCCAAAGCATTTGAAAAATAAAATCATAAAAGATTTTGAACGTATACTTTATTTAGCCCCATATTTTCAAGAGAAAAGTTAGGCTACAATATTTTATAGTATATTTTTAAGTGCTTAATTACATAATAGTTATGTATAAATACACATGTCTACATTGAAACATAAGTGGCCTAGCTCCCATACAATGTTCCTTTCAACTCAGCATCACAAATTAATGATGGTTCAAATAATGCAATGTAGGATTTTAACATTTTAAACTTTTCTATTGTATCTAACACAGGTCATAGGCAAACTGTTCCATCAGGCTTTACAGGCAATGTCAGTAGAGGGGCTACAGAAGGTACCATTAAGATTTGATGTTTGAGACATTTCTTTCCATGTTATGGTATAATTATAATCATGTTCTTCATTCATTTTACAAATGTAAAAACAGAATAAGTCAATTTCTAAAAAAAAACGAGCAATCTAGCTTTGAAGGTGCATGCCTCCTTCTCTGCTGAAGGACGGCCTAGTGACAGTTCACTCATGCTTGGTGACCATTAGGACCATTCATTTCAAAACATATTTTGACATTAAAAAAGAAAACCACTAAAGTTATGGAAATTCTATTCATTTATTCATTTGGGTTTGTTTGTTTGTTTTTTGAGATACAGTCTTTTTATCTGGCTTTGTCTTTCTGTCTTGGAACTTACTACATAGACCAGGCTGGCCTCAAAGGCACAGAGATCGGCCTGTCTCTGCTTCCTAGGGGCTGGAATTAAAGGCATATGCTACCACCTGAGGCTAAGAAAACTAATTTTGAAGAGCTGCTTTTGTTTGTTCTTTGGAGGGGAAGTTAGGAAGCAGTTCCTACATCACAGAATACACAGCATGCTGAGAAAGAGAAGCACACAGAGGATTAACTATACTTTCCTAATTGTTAGAGATGGGGACTTCAGTTACTCACTGGGCGTCAATGTTCTTGTCTCTGAAGTGGCTACAATGGCAGCTTTCTCCAATGAAAGGTATAAGTGCTGATTGTGCTTATGTTACATAATGCATTGCCCAGCCAACTACCAAACATGGCGGGCAGGGCTTATGAAGCACATGCTCAACCAGTTGATCAGTTTCTGCTTTGTGTTTAAACTGTCTTCCTGCCTTCCTTTCCTTATTTACTTATCTGTCTATCTATCTATCTATCTATCTATCTATCTATCTATCTATCTATCT